GAGAAAGAAAGGGAAAATCAAAGACCACGTAGGGTTTGATTCCATTTATGTATAATGCAACATCAGGTAAATCTTTGATAAAAGTTAGAAGAGGGGCTGGAGTTGTAGCTCAGTGATAGAATGCTTGCCTAGCATGTGTGAGGCACTGGGTTAATCCTTAGCACCATGTAAAAATAAATAAAATAAAGGTATTGTGTCCATGTACAACTAAAAATATATTTTTTTAAAAAARGTGTTTAGGGTGTATTTTGTTTACTTCTGCGGGCATATAAAGGGTCCAAAGGGAAACTTCTAAGGTTGAACATATTCTATATCATGAGTGGGGAAGTGTTTTCCTGAGTATTTGTGTACATTTTTACACCTAGGATTTGTACAATTTAACAGATGTGTCTTATACCTCAATAGAAAATAATGTAGATGTATACATATTTCAGATCTGGCCATTGAATATACCTCACAGTAATTACCAATTTGGTCTCATTGTGCATACTTAGCATCCAGATTATGCTACATAGGCCAATGGTGTACAGAGTTCACAGAGGGTGAGCAGTTCCATAGAGAAATAAATTTTTAAAATATTGTTATACACAGAAAGAAACCAGAGCTTCTTGAAGAAATGGTGATTCTAGGTTGGAGGCTTATGTATGAGATGTTAGGACACCAAGTAAACTGAAAGTATTGTGTCAGAGTACTCAGGATTCAAATCAAAGAAATTCCCACTGGCCAAAATGGTCATTTTGATAAAGAATAAAATATTTAAATTGCTTTTACTACCCAGGGGCACTTTGCTACTGAGCTACGTCCCCAGTTCCTCATTCCCCACTTTTTAATTTTGAGACAGGGTCTTGCTGAATTGCCCAAGCTATCCTCCAGCTTGAGATCCTCCTGCTTCAGCCTCACAAATTGCTGGGATTACAGGTGTGCACTATTGCATCCAATTGATAATATTTCTCTTATTGAGGTTCTCCAGCTAATAAATACAAAAAGAATGAATAGAATGTCACCATTTTAATATCCTCAGAGAGTAAATAAAAATCTAGGCCTTGAGCTTCAGTGCTTCCTATCATTAAAGGAGAAATAACCAAATATGTGCCTCCTGATGAAAAGCATGTCATTTATAAAGAAGTCTTTTTCAAACATATAAGACAAATCTGAAACTGATCAGTATTATCCAGTTATCAATTTACAGGAAATCCAAAGGCTAGAAGAATGTTATGCCACATTAACARGGGTACAATCAGTAAAATCCAGACTCTCAGAAAATACAATACTAATGATCTTGTTTCTTTATCAAAAGCACAAACTCACTCTTGTAACTAATAAGCAATTATAGCAAAGTTATAGGACACAAAATTATGCACAAGTATATACTTTCCTATATTACCAATAGTAGATTACTAGAATTTAAAATTTAAAAGTTATTTATATGACTATCCAGAGTGAAATACCTAAGTACAACTCTTAGCAAAATTTTATAAGATCTATGAGGAAAACCACAAAACTCTAATAAATCAATGATACCAGTAAAAATAAATTCAACCAATGAAATCAAATGGAGAGGTATTACATTTTCATGGATAGGAAGATTCAATATTGTTAAGATGTTAATTTTTCTCATGATGGTCTATAGATTCACCACAATCCCAGTCAAAATACTACCAAGTTATTTTGTAAATACTGATAGACTGATTCCAAAGTTAATGTGGAAAAGGAAAAGACCCAGAAAAGCCACTGCAAAATACTGAAAGAAAGCAGAGGAAGCTTTAYTTAAAGCTAATTGACTTTAAGACTTGGTAGTAGCTATAGTAAATCAAGGAGTGGCATTTTTACAAAAATAGACAAATGGATCATTGGTACAGAATAGAGTAAGAAATGAGTCACAAAATATATCCAACTTATCTTTGACAAAGGAGCAAAATGAATTCAATGGAGAAATGTTTTTAAACAAATGGTRTTAGAACAATTGGGCATCTATATGCAAAAAGAAAAAAGAAAAACTCTATGTAGACAAACCTTGTACCTTTCATAAAATCCAACTCAAAATGGTGTATCTAAAAGTAAAGTAAAACTGCTAGAAGAAAACATAGGACATAGTCCAAGTGACCTTGGATTTGGCAGTGAGTTTTTAGATACAACATCAAAAACTCAGCTCATGAAAGAAAATATAAGTTGAACTTTGTTAACATTAAAAGCCTCTAAGGCTGGGTCCAGTGGCACATACTTGTAATCCCAGCAACTCAGGAGGCTGAGGTTAGTTTGAGGCCAGCCTTAGGAACTTATTGAGGTTCTAAGCAACTGAGACGCTGTCTCAAAAAATAAATAAGAAAAAGGGCTGGGGATGTGGCTCAGTGGAAAGCACCTCTGGGTTGAATCCCCATTGCCTAAACAACAAACCAAAACCTCTCATACAAAGACATTGTTAAGAGAATGAAAGGGTAAACCACAGACAGGAATAATATATTTATCAAACCTATTTAATTAAGAACTAGTGTCCAGCATATATAAAGAATTCTTAAAATTTGTAGTAAGAAAACAATCCAGTTTTTTAAATGGGCAAAATATCTAAATAGATGTCTGACCAAATAAGATATAAAGATGGGCTGGGGTTGTGGCCCAGAGGTAGAGCGCTTGCCTGGCATGCATGAGACACTGGGTTCGATCTTCAGCACCACATTAAAAAAAAAAAAAAAAAAAAGATATTGTGTCCACCTATAACTAAAAAATAAATATCAAAAAAGTTATATTAATTAAAATAGGACTTTACTAATGCAAAGATAGACTTGTGGAACAGAATATGAAGCCCATGGGTGCTATGGCAATGCTTGCCTTGTGAAGACATGATTATTACATTTGAGTAGGAAGCAATTTCCATGAAAAAGATGTTTCAGAGGGGCCAGAATTGTTTCCTATTCCTTTAGCTGTTTCTATTACTAGTACCCCTGGTTTTGTAATTCAGAGCATTACATTTGTTCATCAAAATATGAGTCTGGAATTGGCTCAGTCTGCATTTTGGCAATTTGAGTTTCATCATGCCTATTTGTATAAATTCAGTTGCTTTCAGCTTAAAGGTGTATGGGGGGATAATATAAATACTTCAGGCAATGTACTTTTTCATTCAGTAACCATAACACCGAGTAGTAAACATAAGATGAGAAATATGAATTTCTGTTCCACTTCTTAGTTCCTGTGTGTCTCCAGCTCACTGAACGAAAACTATTTCATTGGGTGATCCCATTTGAAGAAATAGCATCTAGTCCAATCCTGGGGTTAAAATAAAATAAAATCCTGGGGGTTAAACTTTCCAAAATCATGGATTTGGACCCTGTAGCCAGCCAGACCAGTTGAGTTCAACTCCTAGCTTCACCCTATCTTGTGTGGCTTGGTCAGATAATTTAATCTCATTGGGCTCAGTGTCCTTATCTGTAAAATGAAGGTTATAGTAGTATACACCTTGTAACATCGTTTTGTCAAATAATGACTAAGATAAACTATGGATGGCACATAATGCAAAAACAATTTTAACTATTATTATTATTACCAAGAGTTGGTAAAGGATATAGTCCTCCAAGATGGTACATTTTTAATTAATTACAAGGGAAACTTGGCTAACTCCTTTTCCACTTTCATCTTATTCTTTAGAATCCAACCTGTCATGAAATGTGGTTTTACTGTACCTGGTGGTTAGTTTTTTAGGGATTGACAGTTGTGGCTGCTTGTGGAATGGTCATACGACATGGAAGATGGCTTTTGGGGGTAGGAGAGCCTGTGGATTGGACAGGATATATTCCCATAGTCAATGGATGATTATAGATACCTGGAATACATTTAATATAAATATTTAAGTACACGTATTTTAGTCACCAGCATTTTCTTCTGTACAGAAATCCACTAATCTTTATTAGATTAATGCAGCCCTTTTTATGCCTCTGTCTCTTACTTTTTGCTAAAGCTTTTATTGTAGAATGACATCTGTGCAGTCTCTAGTCCCATGTGCTGCTTGTGGGTGCATCTTGTAGCAAACAGTGCTCTGGCATTCCGGGATTTTGCTATTCATCTCTGAGTCCATAAACTTTTTAACTCACCACTGATTTTTCCTTTGAAAAATGTTTAGGAGCCTTATAGTTGGCCTTTTGCCATCTCCTCTTTCTCCCCCTTCCACACACATGGCATAGACGCTTACTTACCTTTCACGACTACCAAAATCGACGCACAAATTGGYCCCACTGTGTTTCCAGCAGGCACTTGGTGGCACTTCAGTGCATACACTGTTTGTCCACTCTGCTGTCATCAGTAGCTCCTCTCTACTGCCAGAATGTCAGGACCTCACTCAGGCCCCTGCACACTGGCAGCTACTGCTTCCTCTAAGACGCTTTACAGAAGTCAGCCTGTTTTTGTTTGCTTCTCTTTGCTCCCCCCACCGCCGTGGCTTCTTGACTTTTGCTCAGGAAAACTGGTCACTTATAGACTGTTTGAACTAATGAGCTCCATCTTTCTGCCAAATGGTGAACAAATACATCAAACCAAATGGGTTTTATCATTTAGCTTTTGGGAGCCATGTTATTTGAGGCTCAAACATCTGAGCCTATTTGGTGCACCTACCGCCTAAAGAAGGGTTTGTGCTGTGTGTCAGGGGCATTAAAATTAGAAGGATTTAGTTATCACCAGGTTCGCTTCCTGGGAAATGAGCAAGCTGGCTCTTGAATAGAACTAGTTAGGGTCTACTTTCTCATGTTCATTTCTGAGAATMAGGGAAATAAACGTTTAATGAATTCTGTTTTAAGAGAATTTGTATAGGTGTCTGAAGCAGYTTATGAGCATGTAATCATTTAATATTTCACAGTAGGGATGTAAAATTGTTGTGTACTTGTGTGTTGCAAGTTGAAGAATCTTGAAAAATGTACATATCCAGAAAATGCATTAAATTTTATTTTTCACAGTATAATTATTCTACAGTGTTAACACTATCTCATTTTGTGTTTTCCTGGTTTTTTTTTTTTCAGAATATTTTCCTTCTTGGACATAGTAACTTTGTGCCGATGTGCACAGATTTCCAAGGTAGAGTGTTCACTAGATTTTTAATCAATAAATATCAGGTTTCATTAGTCTAAAGATGAATTTTAGTTCAAATAAGCCATTAAATTAAAATTTATCTCATATTTAATATAATCATAATTTAATATTTGTTTTATTAATTTGATACATTGAGAATTAAAGTTTGGAAATAGAAACTTTGCGTCAAGACCCTCTTTAATTTATTTCTCAATAAATGAATCTTTCGCCCCTATCCCTCTTCTTTTACTACCTATCTCCCAGGCTTGGAACATCTTAGCCCTGGATGGAAGCAACTGGCAAAGAATAGATCTTTTTAACTTTCAAACAGACGTAGAGGTAAGTTAGTTAACTTTGGTTTAGACAGAAGACTTTTTTAAAGATAAACAAACAGTTTCCTCTTTTCTGTTTTTTTATTTTGCAGCATTTAGAAGAGAGAGACAGAAAAACAAAACTTGGAAGATATGTGCATACATGAAGACCAAAATTCCACTGTGTTTTACTTTTGTTCTTTATCAGTAACAGATTGCTTTTCCCCCTGAATCATGTTTATAATCTATTACTTTCAGCTTTTTAAAGTGTCACACCTGCATCCTTAACACCTGGTTTAGTGCTTTAACCTTAGGAAGCTTCATCTGAAAGATCTACTGGGAATAGTAATTCAGCATTAAGAATGGAGAAAGGACAGGAACAAAAGCCAGAGAGTGAGGCTGACTTCTGAAGTGTCCCATCAGCTCTGGCACTTAGCCATATAATCTCAGTGCCTCTGTTTTATTATCTGTAAGATAAATAAGCAATTTTAAAGCCTTTTGTAATGCCAGGGTGGGGTATGGCTCAGTGGTAGAGTACTTGCCTAAAACAAGGCCCTAGGTGTAGGCCCCAGCACTGGCTGGGGGCTGGGGGAGTGTGTGTTTGTATAGTATACATAAATACATACACTGAATATATTACGTGTGTGTGTAATATACATATATAAATATAAATAAAATTCCAGATTCTACATATTTATGTGGAAATCCAAAAAAAAATCTCTATTTAAGGGTAGTAAACCTGATTACATGGGGAAATCATTTTAAAGTAATTTTAATTTAAAATATCAAATTTCTAACCAAATAGTAGGGAGGTGGATTAATACAGAGCATTGCACAAAGTAATTATCTTGGGTGCTGGTCTGAGAGTCTTAAGATACTTAAGTTTATTGTCTACTTAATGTTAGTAAAACCTTACTTATTTCCATTTTAAACAATTCAGTAACAATAGTGGAATTGCATCTTAAATTACTTCACTCATGTTAAAGGTTCTCAGAGTGTCTTACCAAGCTGTTTGTGCTTTAATGGGTAAGGAAATTATTATGTTTAACAATGAAGCAATTTCCTGCTAGTTACTTGTTGGAAGAGCTTATGGCCAATTATAGGCCCTTTACTCCTCCCCCATATCTTCTGTTCCCCCTCCCCGACTCCCAGAACTGGGGAATGAGCCAAGAGTGCTCTATCACTGAGCTGCATCTCATGTCCTTTTATTTCAGACAGAGTCTCAGTTAAGTTTTTCAGTCTGGCCTTCAATCTATGATTCTCCTACCTTACCTCCTGAATCACTGGGATTACAGGTTTGCGCCACTGTGGCTGGCTCCTTTCCTCCTTCTCTAGGTTACTTGCTGTTTGACAGCCTTTGGCTCCYATTTTAAACCAGTGGAGCAGTAACCTCAGCAAATGGGGCAGAGCACAGGATTTTTCACAGTTGGTTTTAGAACCCCATGGTTCCTCACATATTATCATGGTCTGAGCTTGGAAAGGGGCAGGAACCTCAGGGATTCATGTCCATCTGGAAAAAATAAGTTCTAGTTACTGGTTTAGAATATGGTCCTTAAATTAAGTGTTCATTAATGTTCTTTCCAGACGTAACAGAAATTATCACAAGTGCCCAACCYAAATTTGCCAGCATTCCATACCAGCCAGTGTAATTCCTCTTCAAATTGATAATCTCTAAATCTTTGTTCATTGTGTTTACTTAGTGATGTTGAAAAGAATGGTAAATTCTCAAAATGTCATTTTTAGCTGGTCATGAGAGTCATTGTTGGGCTGGGGTTATGGCTCAGTGGTGAAGCGCTTGCCTAGCATGTGTGAGGCATAGGGTTTAATTCTCAGCACCACATATACATAAATAAATATCCATTGACAACTAAAAAAATATATTAAAAAAATTTATTTTGAAAGAATTTGGCAAAGTATTTTTCTGTAGTGCTTAGTATCTCCTCAGTTTAGGTGATTTTCCCAAACTATACAACTTTTTGGAAAGCACACTAAAACTTTTAAATTTAGATATTATGAAATACAGTTTCAATTAAATATTACTACCTTGATTGAAGAATTTTAGTATTTTCATTATGGAAATACTTAAGAATATGTGCAGTAAAGGGGAGACAGGTTTATGGTTTGCTAGTTGTGTTAACAATTACATGTGAAAATCTGAACTAGCTGGCATCAGAGTTTCAGTCTAGTTTCATATCATTTGTTTCCCTTTGGGGCTGGCACCTTAAATCCAAGTTGAATTATGAACCAAGACTATGATCTTCTCATAGTCTTTAAACATCTGTATAYTCAGCCTAGGAAGCATTCTTTGAATAAAGAGATGGTCTCAAAGATGTGTCCTTATGGGTAAGTTGAGGGAAGAAGGAAAATGCCAAGGATCAGCATGAACTCATTAATACTCCTTACTGTGTGCTAGGCACTGTTCTAAGAACTTTACATATCCTACTACATTTGATCCTCTTAAAAACACCATATTGAAGAAACTGAGGCACAGAAAAGTAGAGTAACTTATTAAGGTCACTCACCTATTAAAGAATGTAGGATTTGTCAAACAAAGACTGTGTCGCAAAAAGGACCACATGTAAGAGTGGAAGGTAAATCCATCCCAAACAAATGTATAAACTCAACATAGGAATACAAGAAATATGAAAAAACAGGTAACATGACACTTCCTAAATATCATAATTCACCAACAGCTGACTCCAAAGACATTGGATGAAGAATTAAAAAAGCATTGTAGAAATGGTCTGTGAATTCCAAGAGAACACAGCAAAACAACTGAATAAATTCAAGAAGTCAATACAGGATATGAAATAAGAAATTCAATAAGGAGATAGAAATATGGAAAAAGAACTAAACAGAAATCTCAGAAATGAAAGCACAATACATCAAATAAAATATTCAGTTGAAAGTCTGTTATAGAGTACACTAAGGTAAAGACAGAATCTCAGAGCTATAATGAAGTGGCTAGCCTTGAACATTCAGGCAATAATAAAAAAAAATAAGTAACCTTGACCAGAAGATAAAGGAACTCTGGGACAACATTAAGAAGCCAAATTTTAGCAAGGCATGGAGGCACATGCCTGTAATTCCAGTGATTCTGGAGGTTGAGGCAGGAGGATTGAGGGTTCAAAGCCAGTCAGCAATTTAGCAAGACCCTAAGCAACTTATCAAGACCCTGTCTCTGAATAAAATATTAAAAGGGCTGGGGGTGTGGCTCAGTAGTTAAGTGACCCTGGGTTCAATCCCCAGTACCAAAAACAAAAAACAAAACAAGTTTTAAGAATTATAGGAATGGAAGAGAGAATTGTGAGCTKCAGTTTAATAGCATGGATAACCTCTTCAGGGCAATAATAGCATTTTTAAACCTTCAAGAGAAAAACATGTGCTGGGGTTGTGGCTTAGTGGCGGAGCACTTGCCTTGCACATGTGAGGCACTGCTTTCGATCCTCAGCACCACATAAAAATGAATAAACAAAGATACTACATCCATCTATAACTAAAAAATATTTTWAAAAAAGAAAAACATCAGTTTGCATTTAGAGGCAAGCCAATCAGAATTACTTTTGATTTCTCAACACAAACTCTAAAAATCAAGGAGAACTTGGAATGATGTTTTCTAGGCCCTGAAAGATAGGTATACCCAGCAAAGCTATCATTCAGATCAAAATCAAAATAAAAACCTTCCCAGATTAAGTAGAAACTAAAATAATTCATGACTACTAAGCCAATTACAGAAAACACTTAAATATTACAGAAGAAATTAAAAAATCAAACCCCAGAGGTCACAAATTGACAAATCTCATGTGAAAAATAGGTAAGCAAATGAGATACAAGACCAAATTAAACATTATAAATAAATCAATATGGCAAGGAATAATAAACATCTCCCTATAACAACAATGAATGTAAATGGTCTCAACTCTCCAATTAAAAGATATAGGCTGGCAGAATGGATTAGAAAGCAAGATTTAACTATATGTTGTTTGTAGGAGACTCATCTCACAGGCAAAAACAGCCATAGGCTAAAGGTGAATTGATATACAATGCAAATGGAGCCTGAGAACAAGCAGGAGTATCTACTCTCATATCCAACAAAGAAAACTTCAAGCCACAATTAATCAGAAAAGATAAAGACGGTAACTTAGTATGGTAAAGGAAACAATCCAACAAGAAGATAAAATAATAATAAATATTTATGCCCTAATATTTGGTGTACCTAAGTGTATAAACAGATACTACTCAAACACTCACATAGATAGACTCCAGTCCAATGATTTCAACACACCTCTCTCACCAATAGGTCATCCAGACCATAAACTCAGTGAAGACTCTTCAGACCTAAAAAATATTATAAATCAAATGGAATTAACAGACATCTATAGAATATTTCACCCAGCAACAGCTTAATTCACTTTCTTCTCAGGTATTCATGGAAACTTCTTTAAACTAGATCACATTTTAAGCCACAAAGCAACTTAGCAACTACAAAAAAAAATGACGTAATTCCTTGTATCTTATCATAATGGAACAAAATTAGAAATCAATGCCAAAAAAAAAAAAGCCTGCAGAAACTATAAACATATGGAGATTGACTAATACACTTTTTTTTTTTAAAGAAAGAGTGAGAGAGAGAGAGAATTTTAATGTTTATTTTTTTTAGTATTTGGCGGACACAACATCTTTGTCTGTATGTGGTGCTGAGGATCGAACCCGGGCCGCATGCATGCTAGGCGAGCGCGCTACCGCTTGAGCCACATCCCCAGCCCTGACTAATACACTTTTGAATGATGAATGGGTTATAGAAGAAGTCAGGGGAGAAATTTTTAAAATTCTTAGAATCAAAGGAGAATAGTGATACAATATACTGTAACCTCTGAGACACTATGAATGCATTTCTAAGAGGAAAGTTTATAGCTATGAGTGCTTACATAAGAAAATCAGAGAGATTACAAATAATCAACCTAACGATACATCTAAGGCCCTTGGAAAACAAGAACAAACCAATTCCAAAACCAGTAAAAGGAAAGA